GAAAATATATATACACATGGACCATTATCCATACGCAAGAACCCTGTCCTCTCACAGACAATCAAGAGCACTAACGCATAGAGCCAAGACCATTCTTGATGGTCTAGATGTACACTGAAGATATACCACAAGATATAAGCCTCTTTTCACTATAATACATGTAATCACAAAGATGTCGAAAGCGGTCATCGTCATGGGTACTGTAAATTACAAGCAATAGTATCATGTCAAAGATCGACTCAGTTTTTGACACATGGGGCTGTGGTTTAGTGGTATAATATTCCCTTAGCATGGGAGAGGTCCGGGGTTCGATTCCCCGCAGCTCCATCTTTTTGCTGTTTTTCTTGCCGGCCTTCTGGTACCCGTTGTTTGTTTATTTTGTTACCAAGGTTCCTGTGCTTTTTGCCCGGTTATCGATAAGACACTGCACAGCAATAAGTTCATGCTCCCAGGCCAGCTGTAAGTACCGGAACCATGTGCACGACCCGTGCAATTATCTGCACGCACGACTAAGCCTCATATACCGATCACATACAACGCTATGAAAGACAGTATTATAACACAGATTCAACTTTCAAGTTTCTCACGTACAGCAAATCCCACCCCCTATACCAATTTCATCACCCATGGCTCCCAATCCGAAGTATACTTGAGTGAAGATGGTATCCCCCAGCACGCACAAACCTCACACTACATTGCCATTGCCATTGCCATTAACGTTAGCCCCACCATCTAACCAACAACCACTATTATGCTGCAAGCGATGGTTCGGACGGTAGATCAGTGGGGGATTGGCTGTTAAGCGAGGATATACTTGTACCGTGCTATATCACTAACGTATTCACAATGAAGATTAAACCAATTAGGGTCTTTCAGCTTAGATAAGAAAAATCGATGCGGGAGCGAGATTAGCTCTGTGCTATATGTCCCGATTAGGTCGAGCCGTCGATGATGGTCTGGGCGATCTTCTCCGCCAGCATGTCTATTTCCCATGGTCAGTAACCAGTTCTGTAGGTGGAACAAAGAGAAAAAGGCTCTCCAAAGGTAGGGAAGACTTACAAACAGTCGACTGGGGATGGCCCGGGGGCAAGAACGGGAAAGCGCTGGCATCGACAACCCGCACGCCCTGAACGCCATACACGCGCGCCTCGTGGTCCACGACCGCCATCGCATCGCTCGCCAGCCCCATCTTGCACGTACACGCGGCGTGCCACAGCGTCATGACGTTGTTCTTGATGAACTCGAGGATCTCCGCGTCCGTCTGCGTCTGCACGCCCGGGTTGTACTCCTGGCCGATCACCACGGGCGCCATCGCCTGGCTCTGAAAGGCCGCGCGGATGCGCTTGAACATCGCCACCGCCAGCTCCTGGTCGGCCTGCGTGTCCAGCCAGTTCGGGTTGATGATCGGGAGATCTGAGGTGTCGGCGGACTTGAGCGTCACGTTGCCGCGCGAGGTCGGCGTGATGAGCACGCCCAGCATGGAGGCGTATTGATAGCCGTCGCGAGGCTGCGTCGTCAGGAGGTTGGAGAGGTTGCCGATATAGCCGGCGCCGGAGATATACTGGTTTGGGTTCAGTTAGCGTCAGCTTGAAGACTACGATCTTCGACCCGAACAAGCCCTACCTCTGCTTCGGGCCAGTCACTGGGGAAGGTAGCGAGATCCTTCTCGGTCTGTTGGCTGAAGGCCGAGCGCAAACTGCCGGGGATCTTCTCCCAGGCGAGGTAATCGGCGATGGGGTTGGTCAGGGGGCCTGTTCTTGTGGTGACTATGTTAAGGAATTGGCCGACCAGTTCCAGCAGGTTCACGGCGATAGCTGTGAAGGTCTGCACCTTGACACGGTACGAGGGCGCAAAGAAAGGGTGGTCCCACATGTTCTGGCCAACACCAGGACGGTTCGCGACGACCGCGATGTTGTGCTGCTCCAGGACTTCCTGCGGACCCACCCCCGAAACCATCAGAAGCTGAGGGGATTGGAAGGCACCGGCCGACACAATCACTTCTTTTTTGGCTTTGATGGTGGAGACAATTCCCAGCGCGCCCTTGACCTGCACACCAGTGGCCTTCTTGTTGCTGTCGAAGATGATCTTCTTGGCGAGCGTGTTCGAGTACGTGGTCAACGTGGAGGGTTGGATGGAGGTCAAGAAGGACGACTGGGAGCTACTCCGCGTCTCGTCCTTGGGGTTGATGGTCGAGGAGCAGTACTGCCCGCCCATGAGAGAGCCAGTGTTGAAGTCCTGGGTCTGGTTGATACCGATGGCCTGCATACCAAGGTCCATCCACGTCGAGAACGGCATCGCGTAGTTCGCGTAGGACACCTGCAGCGGTCCTCCGCTCGATTCGAACGCACTGCTGTTATATTCGGTCGTGGCATTCTTGAATCGAAGCTCGGTGTTGGGGGGCGTGAAGGTCACGCTGCGCTTGTAGTAGGGCAGCACTTGGTCGAACTCATAGCTGCTGTCGTTGACGGTAGTGGCCCATTCGTGCATGGATTCGCGCGTCGGCCTGGTAATCCCGCATCGGTCAGTCGCAGGAAACCCCAGGGTACATCATCCTGGTTGTACTGGGACTTACCGTTGATAAATCATGAAGTTCATCGCCGACCTGCCACATTATCTGTCAGCACAAGTGCATCCGCACATGGAATACCGGCGCATCACATACGATCCACCCAAGCATTTCCCCCGAGCGTAGTGAATCGACCGTCCGTTGGCGCCGGGCTGGTTCTCCGCGACAAACCCCCAGTCGTGGAGGGCGACGGTCTTGGGGTCGGAGCCAACAGGGAGCACATCGGCTGCGGGCACGGCGGCCACCGATTCCAGCTCGTAAAGGCCTCCGGCCTCCACCAAGGCGACCTTGAATTTCTGCTGTGCCAGACGCGTGGCTATGACATTGCCTCCAGTGCCGCCGCCGATGACCACGTAGTCAAATTCAGTATCGAACAGGCCGCGCTCCTGGTGACCAGTAGGCGAAGCGGCGGTCCCCGGGACCAGCCATTGTAAAGCGAGCGACGCAAGGAAGACGTGACCTATCATCGGGACTGGAAAGGAGTGTGGGTGCCAAAACGGCGAAGAGGTTAAGGATCAAGGAGTGGACTAAGGATCGAACAGGGTATCAGAAGCAAAAGCAGAAAGAGTGTCGATGGAGGAGGGAGACTGCAAAAGGAGAGCTGCAGCAGGCGTTTATGAGACAGGCTCGACCAGCACGGGGACTTCTCAAGTGTGGCAAGACCGAGGAATCAGGATCGTGGCTGCCCAGAATCTAAGCTACATTGTGGATCAGTCAAGTTGGAAAAGTGATCGATCTATACGGTTGATCGGGTTCTGAATGGTCCATTCTTAAGGAGCCCCATACCCGTATCTCCAGGAGCTGAGCTGCGAGCGAGCGCCAAGTGGGAATTCTGCCAGGGATTAGGAATTAGTTTCCCTCCGACCAGCACTGAGATACGAGACCCGGCCCATATTGAGACCGTTCCTGCTGCCTGGACCATCCGATTGACTCGGATTGCAGAGTCGTGCATCATAGCCTTGAAGATTGTGGGGAATGCGCTCTGGCCTCGGAGCATAAGAGCAAGATCAGGAACTGTACTCCGTGCGCCCCTTTTCGCGTGGGAACTGAAATCCACGGACAGCACCAGCTCCAAGCCACGCACGGACAAGAAGGATCTGAGGTTTGTGATCAACAGGCACGGTGGCTTAGGCTGAAACCACCGGACGGTCGCGATCACAAGCGAAGTGGGGATTGAGGGTTGGAGATCGCAAATATTGGGCGGGCGCAAAATTGGGTGGTTTGGAACCTCTGGGACCTCCCGAAACATTAACTCATAAATAGAAACCCTGCGAGCTGCTGCTTGTGTTGGTACCCCTCTGCATAAAGTCAACGCTTGCCACAAATCCACTTATGTACGTACCATCGAAAGACGCTCTATACAAACCATCGGTTTTGTGTGATCGAGTGTGATATGTGGACTTGCCGCGTAGTTCCGATGCAAGCGCCCTGAAGGAAATGAATAGCTGGGGAGAAACAAAGGCACCAGGTGGACCCAGCGTGATCAACCCCGCAAATCGCTTGGTCAGCCCATTTCCTTCGATAGGTTCAACCGTTCAGTATATAAAGCCAGGACAAATTCGCCCTCCTGGCTTGCCAGGAAATCGAGACTGGCAATTTTTGAGTCGGAGTAGGGTTGGGGAGGGAGAGAGAGAGGGTGGAATGATGACTAAACAAACACCTTTTGCTCTGCACCATCGCCCAAAAGGGTAATGGTTGCGAGTAGCCCTGCATTGCCTTTTTCAGTCTTGGCTTCAACCTGCGTAGTGAGCTTGTTCATGCGTTTTCATCATGTGCTACCTCCTCCATCGCTTAGATCGATACATTTACTTATGACTATCCTGAAGATATTTAGGCATCGATCAAAATTCAGAGTGTTGGTGAATGGTGACACTTCCTAGGTTGGGAAGGAACCCTTACTCCCAATCACAAAAGTACAGTATAGTTGTTGTGTATGTACAGTACCTGCATATACTTGGGTAGAAGAATAAGATGAGAGATCATCGATGACCATATATCACGATTATACCTCTGGAACTGAAGCGTGACCTAGATGAAGAAAACTGCGGCCTACAAGCTCAAAGAGACACCCTACATCATCTCTTCTCAACCACCGAGGTATCATCCATCCCCAACGGAAGAAAATCTGCAAACCTTATGACACGTGCCCCTGGAGTCTCTAACAGCCTAATTGTCTGTTGAGCCGCCGTGGCCAACAACGGCCCTCCGGTTCGAAGGGATCTGCAGAGCCGCGGATTGTCCCCTCATCAAGCCGCCAGCCGAACCCTCCCCTGCCACCACATGAACCCAAACGCCGTTTGTCACATGCTGAACAGCCGAGTTTGTCAAGGGAAACTGAAGATTTTGCCTCTTCGCTGTGGTTGGCGGCAAGGATGAACCCTACCTATATAGTTGCCCCTCCAGCCATCCGCCATGGCCGTCACCAGACAAAGCCATCAGCCGACCACAGGCTCCCCTCATCACTCTCGAGATCTTCATCAACAGCCAAAACATCAACATCACTATGAGTGATACACATCCAAACCCCAAGGACTCGATGAAGTCCACCTGGCGCCAGCTGGACCGCGACCAGTGGAGGTTCCCTCACTGGATGGTCGAGATGCTTGGCATCCATCACATCAACCTGGATCAGGACGTCCCCATCCACTCCAAGGAGGACAAGATGCCCTATATCGGCGAGTTCTCGCTGCACCGCTGGATCCTCTGGCACTCGGTGCTCCCCCTCCTCGTCCACCAGCTGTATGTCTCCTACACCGGCCGGCCCATAGGCCTCATCGCCGCCTTCTTCTTCTACAGTCTCGCCTTCAAGCTGATCGCCATCCACGAGCTGCACGTCCTCCGCCGCCTGGGCCACAAGGTCGGCTTCTTCGACGGCGACCAGCACGCGCGCGACGGGGTGCCCGACGTGGGGATCGGCAAAGTCGTGCAGTCGCTCATGTCCACCTCGACCTTCCGGCCGGTCATGACCGTTTTCTTCAGCTACCGGCCAAGCCAGCCCCCGTCGCAGATCAGCTGGGCCTGGCTCATCCTGGAGATTGGGCTGTACGGCATCGTCCTCGACTTCTGGTTCTACTGGTACCACCGCGCCATGCACGACTTCGAGGGTCTCTGGAAGTATCACCGCACGCACCACCTCACCAAGCACCCGAACCCGCTGCTGTCGCTCTACGCCGACACAGAGCAGGAGATCTTCGATATCGCGGGCATCCCGCTGCTGGCGTACTTCTCGCTCAAGCTGATGGGGCTCCCTATGGGGTTCTACGAGTGGTGGATCTGCCATCAGTATGTCATGTTCGCCGAGTTGGCGGGACACAGCGGGCTGCGCGTCTGGACGACCCCGCCCTCGACCCTGGGCTGGCTGTTGAGGCTCACGGGGACCGAGCTGGTCATCGAGGACCATGATCTCCACCACCGCAAGGGCTGGAAGCAGAGTTCGAACTACGGCAAGCAGACTCGGTTGTGGGACCGGTTATTCGGGACCTGCCGCGAGCGGATCGAGTGTCGGCCGGAGAATGTGGATTGGAATACGGAGGTTAAGATGCCGATGTTCTAGGGTGGGTCTGAATTTTTGGGAGTGGTTCGATGGCTGCTGGTTTCGGCTGATGTGTGCACGTTGAGGCTTGACGCTCGGTCAGTGTATCTGGATTCTGTGGAGCTCTGGTTTTTCTGATAGATGTCTGTATACTGTAATGCTTAATGGTATGGTTTAATGAACATATGACAGATTATTATGTGTTGCCTGGATGATTCACATCTTCCTGGTTTACCTCCGAGGCGCTGCGCTGCGCTCCCTGGATTGAGCTTGCCTCGTAAGGGTGGAGAATTATTACGAAGTTCACGCCATTGTTATTCGCCACCAATCTTCAACCTGATAGGGCTTCTTCTGTCTGTCCATGCCGGAGTGTAGAAAGTGCAAAAACATACAACAGAAGGGATTCGCTGGTGGTCACCCACCCAACTACTAACCTCCCGGCGTGTGGCTTAAGTACGGCTGAGCGGACGGGAAGCCCTGTTTTCCACACCCTGTGGTCGTATGTGCTTGAAACGGCCTTAGAGAAGCTTATAGTATGCATTTGTTTACGAAATCGGGAGGAAACAGTAGCTCTGTCCCATGGCGGCGAAGTGAGGAGCATGAGAGTAGAGTGGTGGATTTCGGCCCGCGGGAAGGGTCTATTTCCACCCACGGTGCTGAACCTAGGTCTAGTATCTCATGGATGTTAGTGCCTCTCTAAACCACTATTACCATGCAAGTATAAGCAGGCACAAAAATCCGCATTAACATCCCAGAGTACCAGACTCCTTTACTTTTGCCCCACAAAAGATAAACCTTCTAACTTCTGGTCAATGATTCGTAGCCAGGAACTTAGGGACTAAGTATAATGATATTTTGGGTAATGTAGGGCTAGAGTTGTCTATTCTGTATGAACCGCTCTCGTTCCTGCTTCCCTATCTACTTCTTGATATATCTGTACTTCGACGAAAAAAGTGAAAAACCTGTGGTGATGGAAGTATTTCTTGGTTGCAAGATATAGACACGATTATAATCGAAGATGGTGTGAAATGTAGTTAGAGGAAGTCTAATGGTTGGCCTGGACCTTATCTCTCTTCAAGTCAACATACCCTGTAGTTAACAGCCCGGATCGAACATCTGTCAAAGAGTGGGATATGATAAACCTCTGTCCTGGGTTCTGCTGCAGCAGTGGTTTGCATATTCAGCTATCACTATAAACTCCAGGGCGAACACATTAATTCAACTGGAAGGATCACCTGGTCGAGAGATTGTGTTTCAGGTCCATGCTGGGATGCATGGACTGACAGGAAGACGGCGAGTGATGGAGCATGAGCAGGGCCTAGAAGCTGCTGTGCGTACCATCTTGCCGCTTTTGAATGTTTGCTCATGCTCATCCGGAAATTACAAAGGCTGCATTGGGAATCGAACGATCTATCTCGCTTGTATCCACCTACTGAAGCGAGATATATTGTGGTTGCCTACGCACATGCATGCTTGGCCCGGCCTGGCCATGAGCATGGCAAGTCGTACTTATAAAGCTGATTGGCTCTTCATGATCGATCTCCAATGCCCCAAAAACTATATCTAGGTTGGCAAACAAAATCTCCCAGGGCCGTTGGAAATCAAACTGAGGACGGCACGTGACTATGTATAAGGCAAGAAACGCCCACCTCTCGCTCTTTTTCTCTCTCTCTCTCTTCACCTTTACTTCCAGTCTTCCGGACGGGAATAACTTGAAGCGAGTTTGCAATGGTCGCCTCCACGAAGGCAGCGTGGAGCTGTGTTCCGCATTCACAAGACCGATGGATTGGGTAGATGGATGTAGCAAGATGCTAGCTGGCCCGTCTTGACGCGGAGTCGCCGCTGCCGATTTCAATCCGAGCTGAGGCGCGCTGCGACAAAGGGTGAGCAGCGTTCTTCTAGCTGAACAAAGGATGGGACGTCAATGCTCTTCTGTGCTTGCCCAGGGGAAGCGCGTATATATTCGGGTCGGGGATATGGGAAGACTGAGAGGGCAGGAAAGCAAGACTTTTCGTCTGGTTCGTGATCAACAGAGGAATTCCCCCCTTTTGCATCGGTTTTGTCTTCTTCACTTGTTCTCATCTCTTCGTTCTGTTGCCCTACTACCTGCGTTCCTCCCCATGTTACCTCCTCCCAAAAGGCTAGCGCAGGAATCCGCCATTCCGGCCATTTGGATGCGATCCGGGACATCCAAGGGTCTGTTTCTGCATCGCGAGCATCTCCCCGCAGATGAGGCGAAGTGGGAACCCATTCTCCTCGCTCTCATGGGCTCGCAGGGGGCTCACTCTGGAGAAAGTGCGCCGCAGACCGACGGCCTTGGCGGGGGCACGTCCACGACGTCCAAAGTGGCCATCGTGGGGCGGGCCTCTCGGCCCGGCATCGACTTGGATTACAGCTTCGTCCAGGTGGATTTCAAGGCTGGTCGCGTGGACCGCTCAGGGACGTGTGGGAATATGGTGACTGGCGTGGGACCGTTTGCGTGGGATCAGAATCTGCTCGCTCCTTCATCGGGATGGTCATCTCCTTTATCATCAGTAGCAGTAGATAAGGAAATTGGCGAGATCAACTCAATGGTATGTTGTGAGATCTTACAAACGGCGATTGACTTCTGATCCATCTTGTTTCCCAGATCGATATCCAGGTCCTCGATACCAATACCGGCCAAATCTTTCGTCTCACCATGCCCAATCCGCACTACCACCACCAGCACCCGGACTCACCTTCCATCTCTCTGTCAACCTGGGACGCGATCAGGGTGACCATGGTGCATCCAGGTGGTCAAATGGCGGGGACGCTGTTTCCCAAGAAGGGGAGCAGCAGTAGCAGGAGCGAAGAAGAACGCACTACCTTGCTGGAGATTCCTTGTGGCTGGACGGGCCAGCTCCTCCGCGTCCGGGCCACGTTGATTGACTGTGGCAACCCGTTTGTGCTGGTGGCAGCGGCCGACATGCCCGCGCAATACCACCAGGAACAGCAGGACTTGCTGTTCAGCGACGCGGCTCGCCTGACGGTGGAAACGCTTCGTCGGGCTGGCTCCCTTTGTCTTGGGCTGGCGACCAGCTGGGACGCGGCGGCCCGCCAGAGGACAGTTCCTAAGATCGCAGTGGTGACACCAGCTACAGCTGAAAGTGCTTCCGTAGATGCGACGGTGACGGCTTATAGTCTGGGCGACTTGCATCCGACGATTCAACTCACGGGTGCAGTCGCATTGGCGGCCGCGCTGAGTGTGCCGGGGACTGTGCTTGCTGCTGAAACAACAGCCAAGGGGGGCAATGGAGACCGTACCTCCTCCTACACATCTTCCACCTTCCGAACCTGGCGCATTGCCCACCCTCGAGGCACGGTGAAGGTCGAGACTGTTTCATCGCGGAAGGCGGACGGGGCCTACTGCATTGAGAGTGCATCGGTGATACGGACGGCGCGAAAACTATTCGAGGGGCAGGCCTTCTACTCTTTGAGATAGTGAAGTACGTAATGACTGGATTACTATGAAAGAGACTGAAAAGTGATTATCAATCCTGCAAGGATGACGTAATTTTTCAAATGCTTAAAAGACGTGTAATCAAGGATTATGGTAGCCGAGAAACCGTATATGTGGACCATTCACATGAGCTCTGGTGTTTCTAATCAGTTCCATGTACAATATGCCTGCGTAACGAGTAGTTGAGTTACGGCTCTTGGTATATATACCGGCCTCGAATGCTTTTGTTTAACTATAGAGATCATCTCTACTACCGAACCAGCCATGGATATCATCTGGCGGGACACTTCTTCCGCCTCGCTGTACGAGGAGGCCCGTTTGGCACGGGTCTTCAACTCTCGCCGCCGCGACCAGCATCCATCGGCTATTGTGCGTGCTAGAGAAGAGTCCGACCTCGTCGAAGCAGTTCAGCTCTCGTGTAAATTGAACATGCGGGTCACTGTCCGCTCTGGCGGTCACTCATTCCCGGGTTGGAGTCTTCGCGACAGTTCTCTACTGATCGACCTTGGCGACTACCGTGAAGTCGAGGTTAATTTGGAGAGAAAAGAAGCCTGGATCTCTTCCGGGATGAAAAGTGACCTAGATTTGAAGTTGATGAAGGACCATGGACTGACTGATGCTGGGTGCGGGTCACCACCCCGGTGTGGGAATTGGGGGTTACTTGCTCCAAGGAGGGCTATCCTGGAATTGCAGGGTATGTCTTTCAATCTCCTATACCAATCATTTGATGAGGGCTAATGTCTGACGAGGTCTAGAACTGGGGTTGGGCTTGTGAGAGGGTCAGGGCTGTCGATGTGGTCACGGCAGATGTGAGTCTGGTTCGTTGCTCCGCGGAAAAGAACACGGACTTGTTCTGGGCTGCGCGAGGAGCTGGGCCTTGTAAGTGTTTCTCATTGCAGGGCTTCAATTCGTGTGATTCTGATAAGGGTGCACCAGATTTCCCCGGCATTGCCACCCGGTTTCTCGTGCAGCTACTCCCTGCACCCAAGGTCTTCCGTTCGTCCGGGTACATATATCCCAAAAATAAGTATACAGAGGCCTTTAATTGGATCCTTGCTCTCACACCTGCTTTTGACAAAGACACGGAAATTGTGGCTGTCTGCCGGTATCCTGAAGGTATCGAGGAGATCTGCTTCACAGTGTACTTCATCGCAATGAAGGACAGTGTGGACGCGGCTTGGGGCGCCTTGCTGCCCGCACAACAAACCCGTCCAGAGGGCACAGTTCGAGAGTGGTTCTGTCGAGAAGACAGCCTCGAGCAGGAATACGCGAACGAAGTTAGCGCTTACCCGGGAGATCGTCGCTGGGTGGTGGATAATGCCTTCATCGAGAACGAGGCAGATGTGGCTGCTGTGCTGGAGCAGGTCTGTATGTCACTGCCAGACAGGCGGTTTGTTGTGCTTTGGTATCCGCTGGCCCCGCAGAGTCGTCGTCGATTGTCGGACATGGCTTTCAGTCTGCAATCGGATCACTACGTTGGTACATACGCCATTTACGAGAGCGAAAGCGATGATGAGAGGTGCCGTTCGTGGATCCAAGACACAGCAGAAAAGCTGGAGCCATTTCGTGTAGGGTCTTTCTCCGGTGAAGCCGACTTTCAAGCTCGTGTTGTTAAATGCTGGGGTGACAAGGAATTCGCAAGGTTGACTCAAGTACGACAAAGGTGGGATCCTGAGGAGCGCTTCTGTGGGCCATTGGAGGGCGTGGATGCGTAAGGATAGGTTGGCAATACCATTAGTAGTCATCTGTACATCATATACCAACTAGCACAAAGAGCATACTTTCATACGAGCAGGCGGGACTCGGGCAAAAGCTCAATCATAACTTGCAGGGTGAGATATAAAGACATTCTTTTATCGAAGGGTTGGCTTGAACTCAACAGCACAAAAATCCCTGATGATCAATGCTCCTGTCTTGACTTCACGTCACGTTCTAAAATTGAAGTACACTTGTCTGCGATCATCGCTAAAATGAAGCTCTGCAGCACAGGCTTGATGTTTATCTCGATCTTGTTCACAGCGAGCCATGCTGCACCTGTGGATCGGTATGTACAATACTCCTACTAACCCTCTACCCCTGTGCAAGTGGGTAATTTTGGCGACCTGGTGAATAGGGCTGCCCGCTCTGTGGATGTGACGTCTAACTACGACCGTGCTGTGGATGTCTCATCGAACTATGATCGTGCCGTGGATACAGCTGCGAATTACGATCGGGCTGTAGAGGTCACTGCCAACTATGACCGTGCTGTGGATATAAGTTCCAACTATGACTAAAACAAGCTTGAGACGCGGTGGGATGGCTGCAAGCCCATGGGATGCAAAGCAGGGATACCGGGGAAGGAAATGGAAATCTAAGGACTACTAGTCGTGGGACTCGAATTTGATTTTAGGACTATCTCATCTCAAGGGGCCAATATTCTTTCGGTGTTTTTATGTATCACTTTGTTTGACAGATGTGGTATCCTTCGGTCATGTACTGCAAAGAACAGGTGATGATAAGGTGGTGGGCAATCAATCCTTTGACGACGGATTATTGAACAGACACTGATATATCCTACAGTTGTAGACTCTGTAGATAGCAGATAACATATCTAGCTCTATATCACCTTGGCAAGGATTATTTTGATACGATCCTCATAAAAGTGATTGCATGTTCGCACTGATGCTGGACCGTAAGCCCATAGATTGCTACATCTACAGACAGGGTCAATTTCTCCTACAGTTAAATTACCCAGGCCACTGAAAGTATCCTTGTTTTGACTGCCGGAAGCACTGGAAATACTTCAGAGATTGTATCAATCTCATCAACCCTTCACTTGGGCATCAGTCCAACTCAGCATCGAATAAGTCCTCGCCTCTGGACGCAGCTCAGCTGCACATTCTCTCCAACATGCTTCTCTCCTTGTTTGTATTGTTGATTCTCTTAGGCTCACACTTGCTCCTGGTGCAACGAAAGCAAAGTGACCTGAGACCATTCAGTGAGACATTTAACCGAAGGATAGAGCAGCTCCTGGAGCACTTCAGTATCCCAGGGCTCGCCATTTCTGTTGTGCAAGATGATGAGATCTTCGCGAGGGTGTGTGTACTTGCTAACACCATGGACGCCCAACCTTGACTGGACATCCATAGGGCTACGGAGTGTCTGACATCGAGACCTCGCAAGCAGTGTCCGAACACACGCTATTCTTCGCTGGAAGCACGACCAAAGCCTTCACCGCTGCTGCAGTTTCGCTTCTGGTGGACGATAACCATCATTACCCCAACATCCAGTGGACCACTCCCGTTCATTCCATCATCCCGGAAGACTTCACTATGGTCGATCCTTGGTATACGGCCCATGTCACCGTGACAGATATGCTCTCTCATCGCTCAGGTCTACCACGCCATGACTGGCTGCTGTTGACCAATCTGAGTCAGCAGGAGATTGTCCAGAAGATACGATACCTGCCACTGACAGCAGAAATCCGCACCAAGTTCCAATACAGTAATCTCATGTATATCACCGCCGCTCACATGATCGTTTCCGTGTCCGGTCAATCGTTGCCGTCGTTCTTGACTGAAAGGATCTGGGCCCCGCTGAACATGTCGGAAACCTATCTTTCGTTGACCGATGCCCAGCGCGCAGGAAGGAACATCTCACAGGGTTATTACCTTGATACTTACGGCAAGCTTGTGTCAACCCATCATGTCAGTATGAGGAATTCGCGCGGTGCAGGGAATATCCTCTCTTCAGTTGCAGATTATGCCAAATGGATTTCGACTCTTCTGCGCAGGGGCTCCCCGTTGTCTGAAGCGGCCTACCACACTCTCTTCGGTGCTCACAGCATCGCTACCAGGGAGTCAGTCCCGCCCTTTCTATCACCGACGCTATACGGGATGGGCTGGGTGGTACAGACGTACCGCGGTGAAACCGTGATCCAGCACGCTGGATCCCAGTATGGGTTCGGGTCTCTAGTGGTCCTTCTACCGCAGCGTAAGCTGGGGGTTGTGGTCATGGGCAACAACATGCGTGGGACCAATGCGGCTGCAGATATCATTGCTTTTGACATCATAGATGATGTCCTCGATACTCCCAGAGATGAACGCTTCGATTGGCCAAGAGGGTCTGTGACTGCCCTGCCATATGATTGTGTAACGTGGCATAACTAACTGTCCTACCTCCATGTTCTGTATGGACTAGAGCCGATGAACGATTAGCAGCCGACACACTCACCAACGACACTTTCCGTGAATTATATCCAGTTCTCCCGGATCCGCCCCAACCATACCCGCTCAATCTTTCTGCGTATGAGGGGGTGTACGTACATGCGGCGTATCCCAACCTGACCATATCAAGTGATTGTAGTGAAACGGCAGGTGGAATTATTTACGAGAATGGGACAGGTGCGAAGCTGTGTGCATCTCTGGTTGAACCAGGGGATTACTTCCCCAAGCCGCTGTCGCTGGAGATGTACCATGTTAGTGGTGACTCTTGGGTTCTGGTCACTACTATGGCTGGGGCCATGTCTGCAGCCAGGGTTAAATTCAGGTTCGATGCTGACGGACATAGAGTGAGCCACATGGGTGCTGAGGTTGAATCGGCCATGGCGCGGATAGGAGAGAAGAATTGGTGGGCGCATGTTTGATGTCACCGGCAGGACTGGAAAAGAGCTCATTGACTAGGACTATAACGTGTCACAGTAGCATTCCCCTAGCATTGATTGATTCCCTGTGAGTCTTCAACAATGTCTATCTAGCGGGTTCTATATGACCATCTTAGCGATGCCTCTCTATGATTACTATTCTTAGGCAACTCTCAAACACCAATCGCGAATACCAGCGTCCATTTGTACGAACATAAATCGTATCCACTGTAATCATCATCTTCAATTGAATCTACAGTCATGGATCTTCCATACTGCTCATCTTTCTCAGGACACAGACCTTGAATTTAACAATCTGTTGTTTGATATCAATTCACAATGGAATGGCCAGATTTTCAGACTCTTCACTCACTTCTTGAGAAAATCGAAGCCTCCCTTGCAAGTTATGAAGCTACACGTTCATATCTAGCACGAAATCAGGCACTGGAGCAAGCGGTAAAACTGACAAGAGCTCTTGAGAGCCCCAGAGATGCGGTTTTCAAGCTCTTCCTGTCCGTGAGTGCTGCACCTACAACTTACCGTACCCCAAAGCTTAGCCTCTCCAGCCCACCCAAGCGATGGCCGTCAAAGTCGCGCATGACCTTGGTATCTTCTCGATTTTGACAGGCTCCGAGACGGCCATCTCTTGCAAGGATTTGGCAACTCGGAGTGGTGCACACCCACTGCTTGTTGGTTCGTCATCCCTGCCATGTCTTCTCCTATCATCATCACCGTGCGCTCGTGACCCCATCCCTCGTTCCAGTCAAGTCTGATAAGCGTGCTCACAGAGCGCATCATGCGAGTTATCGTCGCAATGGACTTTGCGAACGAGTACGGACCCGGACAGTACCGTGCGACCCTACTCTCGAAGGAAATGACGGGCAAGAAATCTGGCATCGTGGACACACTGTACGTCATGACGTTCTCTACCACCGTGTCTGCACTAACCCTGTCCCACTCAGCTTCCTCGATCTGGCCCCAGCCATCCTCCAAACACCGGCCTTCCTCCGCGACACGCACTACCAGAACCCGGAGGACCATTCCGCCGGACCGATCCAATACACGTACCACACGCGAATGAACAGTTTTGAATGGCTCGCCACTCACCAGGCCATGCATGCACGGTTCCACGCCTACGTGGATGGTGTGCGCGAGGGCCAGCCGGACTGGGTGGACTGGTTCCCTGTGCAGGAGAGGATTCTCGACGGATACGTTGCCAGCGCCAGCGATTCGCTGATTGTGGATGTCGCCACCGGCAGTGGGCGGGATATGCTCGCGTTCAAGAGGAAATTCCCCGACGTCGCTGGTAGAGTGATTATTCAAGACCTTCCGGCTGTATTCAAGGACGTTCATTGCCAGGATCTGGGGCTGGAGAAGATCGAGCATGATGTTTTCGAGCCCCAGCCTGTCGAAGGTAAGTTTGATTCCTGTCCACCCCTAGGGGATTTTGGCTATACCTGTTGATGCATGCGGGTAGGAGCGCGGGTCTACTATCTCAGATTCATTCTGCATGAGTTCTCGGATGACAATTGCCGAAGGATCTTGAAGAATATCACCAAGGTGATGACAAGAGGATACTCGAAGATCTTGATCGAGGAGTTCCTCCTCCCGGATAAGCATGCCAGCTTGTTTCATTCTATGGTGGATATGATCCTGATGGTCTTTGGGCCGGGGATTGTGCGCACGCAGACGCGTTGGCTCGCGATGCTTGAGTCCGTGGGGCTTACTGTAAACCGCGTGGCGCATCCGGACGGAGAGGGGCCGTCTATCATCGAGGCTGAATTGGCGAATGTCGAGTCGGAGTAACTGGGCTGGTTGGGATTCGTTGCGTAGTCTACTCTGAGGATGTTAGGAGATATAAGCAACATGTTCCAGTCTGCCTTCGGACTCCTGGACATGTCAATTTCGTGCATTGAGTTCTATATTTCAGCCTTGGCAGATACGCAAGAAGAACATTGCTCAATGAAAGTGATTTGCCGTGGGGATAACACCCTCCGTCTTATGCCCCAGTAGTCCTACGGACAAACTTCATCAGGCGCAGCATTCGTGCATGGCGGCTGAGTGAGCTCCAAAGAATCTGGAAATTTTGTAGGTTCTGTGTCAATCTCGTGTGCCTGCGAGTACTGCGCCATGGGCTCCAGCTTCCGGCACTTATGCCATACGCTGAAGTCCGGGTAGCTGAGGGCGCGACCCTTGACCCAGCTCCTCGTCACAACCCCGACATCGCCGTTGCACTGGATCACTTGTCGCAACATGTCGATGCAGTGGTCTGAATGTATGTCAGAATTGGAGAGCAAGGGACGAAAGGGCCAGAAATGCCATACCAACATGCAACCGCAGCGTCGCGTTCGAATCGTGGAACTCTGCCGGCTTGTTCTCCAGCTGGGAGTAGTAATCTTAGTACGTGTACTGTCGAACTAGATTAACGCAATGGAGCTGAACCACGTGTTAGTCTGAGGTATCTGGACATACACACATGAGAGCTTGTAGATTTGAAGCTGAGGGGGGGCAACCTGATGGAACACCTCGATCCCGCCCGCATACCCGTCGCCCTCGGCCTCGGCCACCTTCACCTGGGTCAGCGGTTTCTTGAGCCGGCGCATGTCTTCTGCTGGAATTCTCAGCTGAGCCACTGGAAGCATATCAGTATATGAGACGGAGACTATGGAAGCAAAGAGCAGATACTGTGAGTGATGTGGCCCCATGCCGCGTCCAGGTGTGGGTTCGGGGGTCCTTTGTATGGGTTCGTGTCGAAGAGGCTCCCTTGGAAGCGGACATCCTCATATTCCACGAGGTGTGTGAAAGGAGCTATGTATCGCTATTATCACTCTGGGCTTTTGTACAAAGGACGATGCACTTACAATATGCTGATAACTGTTCTGCACATTTACGGTTGGTAGAAGAGGGTCGGTGGAGTCTGCAGGCTGAAATTAACAGGGAGAAAGAGAGGAGGAAAAACAGAAGATGCAATGTCCAGAGCCAGTGCGCAGTCCGGGCACGAAGATGATGCGGGTTGGGTATGTCAAAGTGGTTGAAGAGAGGATCACTGTCGTCAGTCATCGGGTCCTCAATTGGGTCCTTAGGGCGGAGTGGTATGGACTCCATTCTGGCTGCTCAGCGTACTTGAGTGATAAGAAGGGCAAGTATATCAACTCTGACAACTACATCTCCACACCTGTCATGCCCATTACTCAGAAGATGTGTGCTATTCTTTGACAGGTATCACGAAGGACTTGGTGTTTTATGACAATCCGATGACTGCAGGCATATCACTCCGGCATGGGTCTGTTCCTCGATGACCAATCAGTCAATAGCTCTTACCTTTCTCTTCTTCCTAACTAAGTGACTTGTTCTTCTCTCGTAAAGAATGTCATCGGAATACAGGTGCGACCGTAGTCAGTGTGCTAATTAGTTATGGACGAAGAAAAGCCTTCTACGAAGAACTCTCAGAGTGAGGATGGATGAATTGGGAGTCTCATGAGATCATACAGTCTTCAAATTCTTGAAATAAGTGTGTAGGTCCACAGAGGTCTGGTGTAAGTATTCTCCCGCTGAACATGTGGTGGTTAATTCCATGAGAACAGATAAACATGTTGCAGCCCCAGAAGCATATTGTTATCAGAATCCGGGGGCTATTGTATTAACAGGCATATCGTGGGCGACATGAGGAGATATTGCAGTAAGCTGGCTGCACTTGCAGGGTATTCTTTTTGTATCTCGGACTGATCGGATGGCCTGGTTGCTATGTGCAAGTAGACGTTCATAGTAGATGAATAAAAAAGTACCTAGTGATTTGATTCAACCCCGCACGGAATGCTCGCTCCGGGCCGCGTTGGTAGGCGGGGGAAAATTCCCCCGATGCTACCCGAATCCACCGGACTTATCCGCTTTAAACCTCTCCTGTTCTTCACATTGTTCACTTACTGTGTCACATACTCTCACCTACTCTCACATACCGTGGACAGTATGGCTCCTCCCATCATCCACATCCTTGGACTCGGGAGCATCGGGACCTTCATCGCCCATTCACTACGCTCCTTGCCTGCACGCCCGCCCGTGACCTTGCTCTTACATCGACCTGGCTTGTACGATCAGTTCTTAGCCCGTGAGGGCAAACTCCGCGTGCAGATTGGGGAGTCTGGCCCCTCGACCGAACAGAATGGGTTCGAGGTCGAGCTTCTGGAGAAGGGCCAAGACTCCGCCCACCAGCAGTCCACCGACCCCATAAAATGCTTGGTCGTCACCGTCAAGGCTTCATCGACCATCGCCGCTCTACAATCGATCCAGCACCGACTCAATCACCAGTCCACTGTCTGTCTCCTCCAGAATGGTCTCGGACAGATCGAGCAGCTGAACGACCAGCTCTTCCCCAACCCACTCACCCGCCCCACCTACATCTCCGGCATCATGCGACTCGGCGTCTATTTACGATCGCCCTTTGACGCAGTGTTGGCGGGCCTGACCGGCTCCGTTACCGTGGGGACCGTCCCCGGCAACAACAGCAACAGCATGTCCACCCGCTACCTACTAGATCAACTAACCGAGTCGCCCATCCTGCAATGCGCCGAATCGCCCTGGGCGGACCTCTTTCAGGCCCAACTGCTCAAACTGTCCGCCAACTGCGTGATCAACCCGTTGACGGCGGTGCTGAACGTGCGCAACGGCGCCCTCCTCGACAATCTCGAGGTCCTGCCCCTGCAGCGCCAACTACTCCAGGAGGTCTCGCGGGTCTTCCAGCGGCTGCCCGCCCTGCGCGACCGCCCCGACGCGCAGCAGCAGTTCGCCTTCCCCTCGCTGGAGGCCTCACTGATCAGTGTTATCCAGCAGACGGCGAGCAACTCGAGCAGCATGCGCGAGGATCTGCGCAAGGGCCGCGCGACCGAGATCGAGTTCATCAACGGCTGGGTGGTGCAGCAGGGCGAGGCCTTGGGGGTGGGTTGCTCGGCCAACCGCATGCTGCGGCAGCTCATTCGGGCCAAGAGCAATTCGGCCGGGACGGAGAAGTAGCGGGTTTCCGCTCGGAGAGACAAGGCTAGGCCGGAGTATCGGTGTGCAGTGTATCACCTTCGCGTGGGCATTTTCGAAGGGTTGTCTGGCAAATGGCTGCGCGGAAGACAGGATCTACGAGGTGCGGTGGACGGAGGGATGCATTACGGGCTTGCCTTGGAGCTATTCTTAGGAGCAAGCTGGGCGGTGAGCCCTTGACGAAGTAAGTAAGCAGAGACCCTACATGCAGATGTTGTGCATGATCATGCGATGAATGAACTGGCTGTAGGCAGGGTATAACTTAGTTGGCAGCGGAGGTTGACCGGCGGATGTAGATAAAACAACCGTGAACCACAGCACAACCAAAGAAAAAAAAGAAAGAAAGAAAGAAAAGAAAAGAAGCCAAAAAGAGCCAAAAAGAGCCAAAAAGACTTGGCAGTGGATCCTACAACCCAACCAGAAGAGAAAAAGGGGGATGAATGATTGGGCAGCCATGATCTCCAGGCAGCACCTGGCACCATACCTTACCGCCTTCCGTGTAAAGAAAGAGCCGCCCCACCGGCGGGGCAGATTCCGAATCGATAGTTTCAGAATTGGTCGCCACTCTGAGGAATTTTCCATCGACCGCAAGCAGAGGGCCCTCTCACGTGGCAGCCCTTCGGAAGTTCCGAACTTGGGCTCGAGGTCGCCTGTCTGCAAGTGCGCGGAGAAGACAGACACCGATGCGCAACACGCAGAGAGCGTTCTCTCTGCCTGAGTTGTCTCGGGTATACGGCAAGTGATTGCGACTGGGATACTAATCATCGAGAAGGATCAGGAAGATTCATGATGACGGATGTGATAACAATGAGAGAATACGATTCCACGACTAATCAGTGCATGCCAGTTGAGTGTTTTACTCACCCCCAGTGCTGACGTCATGGCGGCATTGTCCCGCTGTCGGCCAATGGGGGCCAGACCACTGCGGCCTGGAGGCCTGAGGCACCAAATGCAACCATCACCGCAACGACTTCAACTGGTCCATTAGTGCATCTGCTGCTCAATGGATGAAACAAAGGGTCAATTGGAAACTTCACTAGTACCTCCCATCTATCGGTGTGTGCTGGAGCTGAGATCAACGAGGTGTGCTGGTTCTGGGTTCGGCAATGCCAACTACTCCCGGAAGCCGTTAAATGTGGGGCGAGGGCAACTGAACGGATAAGTCGGAATGGTGCACTGCGCCTGATTCATGGATTGGATCTGGTCAAGGCGAAAAAAAGGCTGAATGTTCCCTTTTTTTTTCTTCCTTGGGGTCAATTGTAATATTATGCCGTCTGGTCCCTGGAGCTTGTTTCTCTTTCCAGGTTTTCCACTTTTCAATCAAGCAATCTTCTGGTGGCCATTCCACTTCCACCTTCGTGTCTCCTCTCTCCCTCTCTCCCTCCTCCATCTCCCGCCCCTTCTGAGTCGAACTATCAAGCATGTCTGCCTTCGACAAAGAGCTCGAGATGGCGGAAGCCGATGCCCGCCCTCACACTAAAGAAGAAGGCCCGCGGAGGTCTTCTGAGAATCCAGACCGGCCGAGTTCCTCCGGCTCGGCTTCGTCCGGCTCGAGTAGCTCCATCGACTATAATCCCCAGATTCACCGGCTCCAGTCCCGAAATACCGAAGTTGACCTCGAGCGCCTCCGCACGGGAACCTCCCATGCGCTGAGTCGCATCGAAACCCAACGTCTTCAGCATGCCCTGACCGTGGGTGAAAGTGTCAAGTCGCGACCATCTCGAGGCCCGTTGCCGGCGTTCGGCGGGGGCAAGCCCTACCCTCCTCCTCTCCCGGCCCGTGAAGACTATGTCGTCGAATTTGATGGGCCTGCCGACCCTCTATACCCTCAGAATTGGCCTCTGATGCGAAAGTAAGTCTTCTCATGCATTGCTTCTAATGGTGCCTTGTCCGGTAGCCAAAGGATGGATGGCTAACTGCCTTCCCTCTCCCCGTCTAGAGTATACATCAGTGCCATCCTCGCGTTTACCAGTATCTGCTCCACCTTCGACTCGGCCGTCTTCAGCGGTTCCAGCACCAATGTCGCGAAACACTTCCATGTCGGGCTCGAAGTGGCCACCCTGTCGAGTTCGCTGTACATCATCGGATACGCCTCGGGCCCGCTGATCTGGGCCCCGCTGTCGGAGTTGAAGGGTCGTAAACTTCCGATCGTCGTCGCGATGTTAGGGTTCGGGATTTTCAACACGGCCGTCGCCGTCGCCAAGGATCTCCAAACCCTGATGATCTGTCGGTTCTTCTGCGGTATCTTCGGCAGTTCCCCATTGGCGGTCGTGGCGGCGATTTTCTCCGACATGTACGACAACCGCACGCGCGGGGTGGCCATCGCCATGTTCTCCGGCACGGTGTTCCTGGGTCCCCTGCTGGCCCCGTTCATCTCGGGCTTTATCAACGCCTCCTACCTCGGCTGGCGCTGGACCGCCTACATCCCCGCATTCATGGGCTACGCGGCCTTTGTGCTGAACGTCTTCTTCCTGCGCGAATCCTACCCGCCGGTGATTCTGGTCTCCAAAGCCTCGGAGCTGCGCCGCCGCACGAAGAACTGGGGCATCCACGCCAAGCAGGAGGAGATTGAGGTGGATCTGCGGGAACTGGTGGTCAACAACTTCTCGCGCCCGCTGCGCCTGCTCATCAACGAGCCCCTGATCCTGGCGGTGACCATCTACCTCAGCTTCATCTACGGGCTGCTGTACTGCTTCCTGACGGCGTACACGCTCGTCTTCCAGGGGGTGTACCACATGGAGGCCGGCATCAGCGGCCTGCCGCTGTTCGGCATGGTGGTGGGGCTCATCATCGCGGCCCTGTACATCATCTGGAGCTCGCGCGGGTACAGCCGCCGACTGGACGCCAACGGCGGCGTGCCCGTGCCCGAGTGGCGGCTGCCCCCCGTCATCGTCGGCGGCGCCCTCTTCGCCGCGGGACTGTTTTGGTTCGGCTGGGCGGGCTACACCGGCCGCGTCCACTGGATCGTGCCCACGCTGAGCGGCCTTTTCACCGGCTTCGGGCTGCTGATCATCTTCATCCAGCTGTTCAACTACCTCATCGACACCTACCTCATGTTCGCCGCCTCCGCCATCGCCGCCAACACCTTCTGTCGATCCATGGTCGCCGCCAGCTTCCCGCTATTCTCGCGCCAGATGTTCAACAATATGGGCATCCAGTGGGCCTCGACCCTGCTGGGCTGCCTGGCTGCGATTCTTGTCCCCATCCCCGTGGGCTTCTACTTCTTTGGGCGGAGATTGCGGATGAAAAGCAAGTTTGCGCCGTTCTACGAGAAGGCGCAGGAGTCGCATGCGCCCGATGAGGATGATCATGTGCTGGAGGGGGAGAATGGTGCAGCCCACTAAGCGTTGCGCTGCATGTAGATGACGGAGGGAAGGACAAACACTATTATACCGCATTTGTATATGTAATGATAATTCTTAGTGACGTGGAGCGTTCTTGTCATAGCATTTGCATTGGCATTCTGCAGGTTTAGCATAAAAGTTGGGAATGAATGTTGAATATCCATTTCATCTATGTTTATGCAGTCGGAGTTGGCAGCTTTTGATGTAGCGTTTTGATGTAGCGTAAAGAAAGGGTTGCTCTCGTGGTATCGAGATAAGGTGGGTTGGCTGTTTTGTCGTTCAACATGTAGACTGTAGGATATATTTGCTTAGATGCTGGCACATTATATAATCAAGGTGCTGTGGTCTAGTGGTATGACGTCACGTTGTGGCCGTGCCAGCCCCGGTTCGATTCCGGGCAGCGCCACTTTCTTTTTTGCGCTCTTTTCGCTGTGTCGTGGGTTTTACCTTGGGCATCCAAGAGTCGGGGAGTCTCATGATAATCTGATGCCAAGACACAATAAGCATCACTCACCCTTGCCAGGCGCAAGGTGATTAAGTCATGCCGAAAATCCAATCACGCCCAGACCTCAAGCCTCAGGCCACCGAGGGTGTCCCTTGCTGCGTGAGTCCCACCCAGCACAGGCAACATCACGTGCCTTGACCGGTGCCTGGCCGCTCCACCTGAGCTCAATCCAATCACACCCCTCAATTGCTCAGGGTCTTCAGGCAACAGCCGGGTACTGAGGCCTCAGGCTAGCGATCGGCTCAGCGGCGGGGACGAAACAGGCAAGTACCTGCTCTGCCTATAGCATCTTCATCTCTCCACCATCGCTTTATAACCATGTTCGTCTCCTTCAATGCTTTTGCTTTTGTCATCCCTATCTTTCCCTTCAATTCTCACATCCGCTTTCCAGTGTCGATAAACTTTGATCTCAAGCTCATCTTCCCCTTATCCAGACATATTGTGACCCACAAGATCTCGTATTCGCAACCGAGCCAAACATCGTTGGTCGGCGAGCTCACTCACCACTCTTTCCCCTGCACATTCAGGTCCCTTTCACTGCCCTCTCATAGCCATGACAAAACTACCTTTAGAGGGCTTGGTCATCGCCGTAGGCGGGACTTTCCCCGGCTACAAACAAGGTGCGCATCTCCTGATCATACGCCAGTCTCATTTCCAATGTTCCGGGTAGCAACCAACTAACTCTCACAGCCGACCTCACTTCCATCATCAAGAAACAGGGAGCTGAATTCAGTGCGGCCATCACCGAGACCCTGACCCACCTGATCACAACCCCCAAAGAAGTAGCCAACCAGAGTCGCAAATGTGAGTCCATCCCCGAGCTGGCCCAACGGACAGTCCCGCGGGGAAGCTTGGAGCGTTACACGATCTTGCAGGTGACTGCTGTCTGGACGCCCTACTGACTCTTCCCTCCTCAGACACGCAGGCATGCAAGGTTCCGTACTGCAACATCGTCTCGCTGGACTGGCTCATCGACTCCGAAACGGCCGGCAAGAGACTGGCAGAGAAAGACTTTCTTCTGGACAGTGCGAGCAACAAAGCGAAGACCGATGGTGAAGAGACCAAGAAGAAGCGCACGCTGGAGCAGGCGCTGGGGGTCAACGAGGATGGGACGACTAAGAAGCTCAAGAATG